CTGGAGGAGCTCATCTCCTTGAAACTGTTTATATTACATAACTCGAAAAAACACAGCAGTGCAGGAATGGCACCCTTGGTGAGGGCTAGGACCCGGGGGCCCAGAGGACAAAGGGTGTTGCCGCCAGCCCCTGGTTAGAAATGGCTCCTTTAAAACAACAACAGCAATAACAGATAATAATAATACTCAGGGACACACCAGGACAATTCAGGAGGATATCCTGAATAAATTAAGTAGAGGAGTCTTTCTAGTAACAATTCGGACTTGCAAGATGACTTTCTTTTCTCTTGCGAAGGAAATAAAGAGGATCCTAGGTGGCGCTAGTGGTAAAGAACCCGCCTGCCAATGTGGAAGACATGAGATGGCGGTTCGATCCCTGAGTCGGGAAGATCCCCGGGAGGAGGGAATGGCAAGAGCCATTCAAGCATTCTTGCCTGGAGAATCCCATGGGCAGAAGAGCCTGGCAGGCTACAGTCTGTGGGGTCACAAAGAGAGGGACGCGACTGAAGCGACTCAGCACATACAAGCACAGGGAAATAAATTCTAATCAGAGCAATGGGAAGACACAAAGTTGACCCCAAACGGCTATTTTCATTTTCATAAAAAGGACATGAGGCCCTTGATCCTGCTGTGAAATCTATCAGGACAACAGAGGCTGCTTTCCCGCGCCCCAGAGGGGTAGCTGGCTTTATAACAGTCCCTCCTCAGTCAAGGGTGATGTAGGGGGACCTCAGCCTTCTGGGAAGCATCGGCAGTTTCGTGGAATCTGCTGGACCCCACTCGGTAAATGGACGCAGACCCACAGGCCCAGTGTCTGAACGAAATCAGAGTCTTGAAATTGAGAGCAGGCAAGAGTCGACTGCAACCTTTTTTTGTCAGTCGCCTGTAGTCTCCTGGGACAGCAACCCCTATCGCATGCCAGGGGACAAGAATAGAAAGAAAAATTGAGAACACAGCCCTGAGCACGGGCTGGTGGTGTTGGTTGCCAACCATTGCCCCATTAGTAGGCTATGGGGACATGCAAGGGAACATTTTCTGTACGAGGCTTGTGTTTAAAAATACATCTTGCTTCAAAGCTGGCTCGGGAGTGGCTGGGGAGAGCGCCAGCTTTCTGTGCGCCCAGCAGTTGTTCACCCTTCTATGATTTACTGCACGGCACATACCCCTCTGAGGCTGCCCCTCCCCGGCCACACAACAGTGACAAAGACCTCAGCCTGGCTTCTAGCAGGCTAACATGCAGGACGATTCCCGGATGAAAGCCAGGCTCCAGAAACGTCCTCCCTGTTGGTTCACTGTGTGCAGAGGGGGCTGAGAGGGGATGGAGGTTGAGTGGAACGCCTCCCCAGCAAGGTCTCTGACCCTTTTCACTCCATGGATGTGTCCCTGGGGACACTTCCCTCCCATGTCCTTTTTCTCAAAAGGAGGACACCAGTTTCTACCCACCTCCTAAGGATGTTCAAGAGTAACAGCTAACGGAAATGACTTAAAAGCCCTTGGCAAATACAAAGTTCAAGATCAAGTGCTGAATGAAGGCCTCCCTCACCTACCCTATCTAATGCGTTACTTCCGTGCCCAGTGTAAACGCTTTGCTGACAGACTGCCCCGTGGGGTGTGAGGCTGGTCTGTGCAGAAGAAATCTCAGGTTCCTCCAGAGGAGTTTGCCTTTGTAGGAGCCGCTGAAATCTTGACATGTCCAAACGCATATTCTGGGTAGAAAACAACAGGTGATAAGCTGCAGAGGCTGAGAGGCTGCCAGGATCTACCCATGGGCACCCAGGCTTTGGCACCCCTCTCCCAGAGGGACATGAAAGGGAATAGATCAACACTGCAGGGTCGAGTTCAAGTCTGCCTCGACGAAGCCCTGGGGACCTCCTTCTTGAAAAACAACTGGGACAGTGTGACAGCTGTTTAAGGATGCCAGAGATCAGGGTCCCCAGGGAAAGCTCCCCAGGGAGTGTTGTGTTTGCAGAAGGCACTTGTGAGTGACACGAAAGAGAGACAGCAGGAGTGAGGACAGCTGGGCTCCCGTGGACTCTCTAACGAGCCATCCATCAGGACCACCCTCCAGATGTGAAGTCTAGTAGTACCTACGGTGATGGCAATGATAACCGTCATGATGATTGTTGTTCTTTGGGGCCTATTAGATAATACATTGCCCTGACACCCTGGCCCCTGGAGGGGTCCTTTCTGGGAAAAGATTACCACCTTGGACTCCTCGCAGTTCCTGTGTTTATTTCCTTTGAGGGTCTTTATCAGCCAAACACAAGTCAGGTTATATGTTGCCAGATATTTGTGGCTACTTTAAAATCTGGTCGGTGGTTCCACATGGCAAGTAGGTGACAGGACATCAAGACAAGAAGATGGGGACGAAGGGCTTGGAGATGCTACTCCCTGCAGGTGAAGGCAGACGCCACAGTGGTCCCCACTTTCGTGGGAAATGCCGCCTCTGAAGCAGGCTTGGTGGATGCCTCTGATGGAAACCACTGGACTTGGGTCCCAAAGACTGGGATCTGACTCCTGGCTCACCCATTTCACAACAGTGTGAATGAACTGGGGCATGTTGGTGAACTTTTCTGAGACGCAGTGGACTCACCTGTAAACTAGAGCTGAGACCTGCCTGTCAGGGCAGTTAGGGAGTTCCAAGGAGGCACCTCACTCCCAGAGGCACAATAAACATGAGTTGAAACAGTAAGATCTGATTCTGTCCATGGGTGTGACCTCTTACCTCTAAGGGCATTAGTCACCTGGCAGGTGTGGGTGTCCTTCTGTCTCACCCCCTCATAGCAGGGGCACACAGCCTGCCACCTCCCCACTGAGAACTGGAGACAGAGCCTGGGCTGAGCAGGTTCTGTTCGGCCTGGAACATCCAGAGCGCCTGCTGCCACGTGGCCGTGGGCTTTTCCAAAGTTCACCGGTTGGCCCATTTGCCTGGGCCCCCATTGCTCCAGGCTACAGAGAGGGGTATCTCTTTCTTTCAGGCCCCTAGGGTACCACTCCAGGGATCGAAGGCCCAGCAAAAGTACAAAGAGAAGGAAGCTCAGTGTTAGAATCTTTCTGGGTGAATCTCCAGGCTGCAGCTGCCCCAGGCAAGTCCCAGGCCTGCAGCAAACCTGTCTGCTATGGGGCTGTCTCAACATGCTGTTTGGAAAGTCAAGATTTTCAATGTAAACTTTGTTCTCCCTCCCCTTTCTTTGGGGATTCACAGCTGGAGCTCTTTTCGGCCCTTCCTCTCCTTGGTGCTGAAATTGGAGGTCACACGACATCTCTGTCGGAACAGACCCTCAGAGCCAGGGTTCTACTGGGGAGGGCAGAGCTGGCACGGCGCTGGCTCCTGAGTTGGCCTGGGTGTCGGTTTCTTGGTGGCACTATTTTTGGCAGATTTTTTTTTATCCTTGCTCTTTATCACAAGCCCGTCGGGCAAATGACAGCGGAATTGCAAGCTTGAATGGGCTTGTCTGACAGGCCAACTTTTATCCTGGGCTCTGCTGCCTGACTTTTAAAAAGGAGCTCCAAAGAGAGGATAGTAATTTCACACCGATTCCTTGCTGTAATTTGCTTTGGGGTTTAAAATGTCGCGTTCCAATCACCCCTGGCTGCCCCGCTGTGTAAGGGAGAAGATGGGCCATGTGTGTGGTTAATGTCTTTGTAATGCGTGTGTGTGTGCTAAGTTGCCTCAGTCATGTCTGACTCTTTGTGACCCCACGGACTGTAGCCCGCCAGGCTCCTCTGTCCATGGGATTCTACAGGCAAGAATACTGGAGTGGGTTGCCATGCCCTCCTCCAGGGGATCTCCCCAACCCAGGGATCAAACCTATGTCTCTTAAGTCGCCTGCATTGGTAAGTAGGTTCTTTACCACTAGTGCTGCCTGGGAAGCCCACTGTCTTTGTAATAGATATCCACAAAGGCACTGCTTTGCTCTGGAGCAATAGCCCCAGAAACAGTGAGCAGTTGGCCAAGGAAGTCTCTACCAGCTACAAACAAGTGCATTCAAAGGACTTCATAATAGATGATCAGCTCGTGCGGAAATAGGGTTGCTTGTAACAGAAGCCTCGCATGCAAATCTCCACTATTCAAGCATATATTGGAATAGCTTTATGCTCTGGGCTGTATTAAGCGGAGGAGCTGGGTGGTTTTAGGCGAAGCTGCAAAGTAGGAGGAGATCTGAAACTCAGATCTAAACACAGTGAGGGCCCAGTGAGGTCCAGTTGAGGATATAAAATTCAGCTTGGACAAGGGTAAGCTGACAGGTACAGGCCCCAAGTGGAAAGAAGTCCTCAGGCTGATGGGAGTTGGTGAGGCTATGTTTGGAGAATCCTCTAAGGAAAAGGACAGAGGCCTGTGGGAAGGTCAGTGGACAGGGTTGTACCCAGTTTAGCAGCAGGAAAGGAGGGCTTTTCCTCATTTAAAACTCTCCTGTGGAAGCATCTCTCTCATTCCTTCACCATCTCTCATCATGCTCACAGTGGAGGTCACACTGCCTGGTGTTTTAATTATTCTTCCTGCCAATGGTCCATGATGTTTCTCGTTTCTTGCTCTTCCTCTGGCCTATATATGCCTTGGGGTCAGGAGCCAGTATCTAACCTTCTTACATGCCCGGAGGATCCTCCCCAGGGCTGAGCACCGACCATGACTCAGCAAGTACCTGGGGTGTGTCAGAACCCTTCCCACTCGGCTGAGGAAGCTTGAGAAGCACCGGGGAGATGGCACGAGGGCCACGCAGGCTATTCTTTCTTCTTTTCTTTTTCTGGCTGCACTGGGTCTTGGTGGTGGTGCTTGGGCTTCTCTAGTTGCAGCACGTGGATCTCAGCTCCCCAGTCCAGGATCGAGCTCTCAGCCCTGCATTGGAAGGCAGGTTCTTAGGCCCTGGACCGCCAGGGATGACTCCAGGCAGGCTGTTTAGAGGGAAACAAGCCCAGCTTGTGCTAGGCGGGCCGCCAGGCTGCGGACGCTCCCTCCCGCCTTCCTCCGGTGCCTCCCGGCTGTGGCGCCCTGTCCTCTCCTAGCCGGCTGAGCAGAACCGAGCGCTCAGGCTTCTGGGCCTTTTCACGCACTGTTCCCTCCACCTGCTGTCCTTCCCTTGTTCTTCCACCCGTGGACTCATCCGTTCAGCTCCAGGCCAACCCTCCCCTCCCGACAGAGCTGCCAGCATCTGATGGGCAGAGCTGGTGGCACCTCCCTCCGGGGGTCCAGGGTGCCTGGCCTGAGGCAGCGTCTGGGCCGGCGGCACTGCCACGGGGTTGATGCTGCCCGCTGGGTAACGCTGCCTCTTCCGCTGGGCTCTGAGCGCCTTGAGGGCAGACCCACGTTCCTCCTCACCCCTCAGCTCTTGGTCCTCATCACAGGGCCTGGCACCTGGTACAGATGTATCGAAGGAGTGTGTTGCCCTCATTTGGCAAATCATGGGGAAGGTGGGCCCAGGGCCCAGTAAGCAATGCGGGAACAGGGCAAAGGGGGCCCCCCTGTGGAACAGGATGAAAGGTGCAGAGAGCAGCCAGGCCTCAGGGCCCCTTTCAGTGAGCTGGGGCGCCCAGGACCAGTGCTGGGTATGATGTTTTGAAAAGTGAAGCTTGTGAAATGATCATTTCGCTATCTTTTTTCACTTTAGGGGTTTCTCTGTATTTTCCTTTCCAAACCTTTGTGCAACCTTCTCTTACAGCTTTCAGTTACTCTGCCTGACAAGATCACTGATCATTATTGATCATCTCCAGGGGTAGACTGGGGGTGGCGAGTGCAGCAGTGTGCTGAGTGGGGGACCAGGAAGAGAGAGTACCGCAGCTCTGGGTGGTGGGGAAGACAGGGAGGGGATGAGGAGGAGCGTCAATAGCAGCCTGGCCTCTGGCCCCAGCCCGCCGCCCCTGTGAGGTGGTGAGTGGGCCTCAGCCTCCCTGCCTGGGCAGTAGTGATGGTTCTCTCACTGAGCTGTTTTGAATATTAAGCAAATTAATGCATGGAAGCATCCGGAGTAGGGCCTGGCATATGGTAGTCGCTAGACTACGCCAGACTAAGCCAGATCCCGTCACCTTGAACCAGAAGCTGGAGCCCAGCCTGGCTTTCTTCACTCGTGAGTTGTCTGACCTGGGTGGGTCAGGTCACCTCACTTCTCCACTCATGTTCTCTGGTCTCTAATATGGAGATAGAAATGCTGACCTCGTCAGCCGTTGTTAGAATCAGGGAGAGGATGGGATGTTTTGTAAGCCATGAGGTGTTTTCCCAAGGTGCTTGTGTAGTTACCTGGGTGAAAGTTTAGGAAGGTGAGGACACCTCAGACGTCCTGTCTCTATGGAGTCAGTGACCGTGAATTAACTTTAGATACTTCACATTTCTGTAAAGTGATGCTTTAATAGCCACCCCAGGGTCTATCAGGTACCCCTGAGCAAACTGTGACCTCATTGCGGTGGCCAATTCTATGTGTCAGCTTGCCTGGACCACAGTTCCCAGATATTTGGCCAGACATTATTCTGGATGTTTCAGTGAGGGTGTATATGGATGTGATGAACATTTAAATCATCGGACCTTGAGTAAAGCAGATCGCCCTCTGTAATGCTGGTGGGCGTTTTCCAATCAGTCAAAGGCCTAAATAGAACAAAAGACTGATGGTCCCCAATGAAGACATGAAACCGTGTCAGCAGACTACCTGCAGACTTTAATTGCAGCATTGGCTCTTCCCTGTATCTCCAGCCTGCTGGCCTACCATGCAGAATTTGGACTTGTCAGGCTCCAAAGTTGCATGAACCAATACCTTCAAAATCAGTTGCCCTCCCTCCTCCTTTCTCTCTCTGTCCACACACACACACACACACACACACACACACACCCTACTGCTTCCGTTTCTCCGGAGCACACTGACTAATACACCCATCAACATTAGGACTCAGACAGCTTTAAACTGTATACTTACCAGTCACTGTGAACATGAATTTCATGGGTTCCTACTGTCACACATGGCTGGCCAAATCTAAACTTGGCCGTCCCACCTCACCCATTCCTCCCCATGAAAAACATACAGATTCTTACCTATAGGTCCCCCTAGCTCCCTCAGCCTCTTGACTGATCCTGGTGCTTCCCCATATCGCCCTGCAAGGTGACTTGTGCTCTCCCCAAGGACTGTAGGATAATCAAACCTTTAAACTTTCTCAGTCTTGATGTGCATCTATCTTACTGATCCCTATCTAAGGTACTGTGATAAAACAGACCGTGGCTGCAGCCCAGTGCTACGAAAACCTTGCCCAGTCTCCAGAGATGGGTGAAGGGGTTACTGCAGCCATTGTGTGTCGTTCTGCTAGAGGCCATGGTACTATTCTATGTCAGATCTGGGGCTGATAGAAACCATAGCCAGCTTCTCAAGCAGCCTCAACCAAAAGAACAATCCCTTGCATAAAGCAGAAATCATCATCATTGTTGTAAACATACTGTGACCTTATGAAGAGCCCAAGTGAGCAGTGTTCTCAGTGAGCAAATGTTCACCCAGAGTAAGGCTTTTTATTGGTTCCTTCAGGACCCAGAGAAGTGGCAGTCACTCCGGTAGGGTGTGTCCCAGAAGCATCTGTGTCTGAGACAGAGCTCATTCACCTCCCCCTGGGGGAGACAAGGCCTGCTACCTCTCAGAAAAGCATTAATTCAACTAGATGACTCAAAACATCACAGAATCACACAATTACAGAACCTTAACATTTCAGAGCCTGGAAGGGAGCTAACAGGTCATCTGGTCCCACACCGCTTATTTTGAGAATCAAAAAATAATGCCAGTTAAAACAAAGGCTGTCACTTACTGTGGTTCCTAGGATGGAGCCCTCAATGAATGCTAAATTTGAGGACTGAATGGAAAACAACTTCAATCTATAGCCAGTGTTCATTTTGTGGGGTTTCTTACTGATGGAGGAATTGATGCAGGTCCACCATTCCTCTGCCCATCTGTTTATCTGTCTATTGTCCCTCCATCCATCCATTCCCCTGCCTAGTAAGACCTTCAGGCAGCTACACGAAAAGCACAGATTTCACTGCTCTCACTTCCTCCGCTTCCCTCCTTGTTTTTCTCTCTCACCTAGGATAAAGATGAGCGTCATTCACATGTGTGGGGGCGGGAGAAAGACCAGTCACTGCTGGTGTCACTGTGGGATTTTTGAAACTCTCCAAGTCCCTCACACTCGCATGGTCAATCTCACCCGGCCAGGATTGCTTGACAGAACATAATATAGAGGGGAACTTAATGAAGGGAACCAAGATGCTGAAGGGCTGAAAACAAGCCCTTCTCTTGTCTTCAGAATATTTTCCAATAGGGTGTCACTGAATGGAGCTCAGGACAAAGAAATGTAAATAAATCACCAGCTGAAGCTGCTGTTTCCTCACTTCCCATGGCCAGTTAGACTATCCACCCGGCTTTCCGCTGGGGGTCCTGAGTTAAACCTCACAGATGATGGTGGAAAGGGGCTGGGTGAATTCATGAACAGTAGTGATGTTGGTTCTTATAGGAGCTAAGATAAGGGTAATTAAATCTTGTACTTCAGGCCATATAAATGGATCTCCGCAGGAAGGCGAGAATTAATTTAATTTCACGTGCACAGCCCTGCCCAACCCCTCCACTAGCTTTATGTGATAGACCCAGTGCATGGCAGAGAAGACAGAGTGAAAGCAGAAAGATTTGTTCCGAGCACCAGGTATTAACCACCACACAAATCAGGAGCTTGAACTTGATGGAGCCCAAGGCTGATCTCATGTGGCAAATCCACAGCTTCTTCCAGCTTCTCCCTGCATTTGGTTTATTACACACAATCTGTACTGGGGCTGTTTTCTCACTTAATGGCAATCCTGAATCACTATCTATTTCCCATCTTCGCCTGCAAAACAGCAACCCGGAGCTAGTGCTCCGCCATAAATACTGGGCCCCATAAAGCCACGGCTGTACAGATTTGCCTTTTTGTGTGTGTGCGTCTGATTCACTGGCGCTCTGGCAGCCTTCCAGGATCTAGGAGAGGAGAAAAAACCATCCTGAGCATCCCAACAGCCTCATTTTGCCCTGTGATTCTGAACAACTCATTTCCACTTCACAGGCTCTGCTGAGCTGTGCCACAGAAAGACAAATCTCAGACGAGGAAAGGAAAGGCAGCGGGAGGACGGTGGAGGAGACAGAGGGAGGAGGGGAAGGGGAGCAGAAAAGGGCTGCATCTATTAAGCTGTTTTTCTTTTGGTGAAAAGAAGCATTTATCAGTGATTTCATATATCATGTGAGAGGTGGCTTCCTGCCAATTTCCAAGAAATCAAACAACCCACTGACATCAGATGCTAAATATAGCACTGCCTTTGCTTTAGGTGAATAAATAATGCCGCTGGAAAGGAATAGGTTCTCTTCAGTTACATGTTTATTATGATCAGGCTGTCAAGCTTGTGTAATCAAAAGAATAATGTCCAGTTCCAAGGAGGAATGGGCAAAGGATCTTCAAACAATTTCAGGAGGTCAGTGATGGAGACCCATGCTCCTTCCCTTCCCAGCTGGCCAGCTGAGCCTGGCTCTGGGAGGGAGGTGGGTGATGATGCTGTTGGGGGTTTTCAAAGCCCTGATTCGTATGTGTGTGTGTGTGTGTGTGTGTGTCTGTGTGTGTGTGTGTTGTATTTGCACGTCTGCCCTCCTTTCCAAACTAATAAGGAAAGAAGGCTTGGAGACCCAAGGGAAATTCACAGAATGAAGACATTCAAGTGTACAGAGGCGGTCATGAGATTTTCATGAGGCTGGGGTGGAGGTGATGGGAACTGGAGAGACGGATGGGTAGGGCATATATTCAAGGTGGCCAAGACAGCCTCTGTGTATTCTGCCAACCTCTAGGTAAGGATGCTTGTCCAACAGCCATTGGAGTGCCTAACCCCACTGTTCTCAGGCCTCAGCGCTTTTGATTTCACCCCCGAGAGGTTTTAGGTTTGGCGCGTTGTGTCAAAGCCATGGGAAGAATTAAGATTTATAATAAGACCCAGAGATTTCTGCCTTCTCTTCCAGCATCACCCTTCTCCCTGCTCACCCCCAGGCTCACATGGAGGAGGAGAGCCATCCCCAAGGACTTGTAGGTACTTGGAGGAAGGGGCAGCTGTCAGAAGAAGAAAGGCAAGAAAATTAGTGTGGGAAGATAAGGAGACAGTGCGTCAAAATATCTCCTGCAAGGTGTTGGATCCCTACTAACATCTGCAAGATTTCTCTTCACAGTCAGGGATACAATAGAGGTGGTTACTATGGAAACGAGTGTAAAAGGAGCCCAGAGAAAGGAGAGAGCTGGATATAAAGAGGAAAGAGGAAAAGGCACATAACACTTTTAAATCATCAAAGGGGAATACTACAGCACTTTCCATCTCTGAGAGGAGAAAAATAAAGTCATTGAGCCTGGAGGCTGCTGAATGCCGGGAGCAGGGGAGGGGTCA